GAATGAAGTCTGTTAATGGTATCAAAATGAATAAATCCTGAACTCATTATCATCCAATTTCAATAAATCTCCTGATATCCTTCATTACATCTATCCAAATCTAATAGCTGGAGGACTTTTTCATACCTATCTATTTAGCTCTTCTGGCCATGTGAGGATTTTATAGTCCAGTTTTGATAACTGGGTGTCTGTGGCATATAGTTATGTTTGATTTCCCATCTTGGGTCTTCAGGGTAAACCTGGATTGGTTGAATTTGGATTTGGTTCTCTTCTTGGCCACCTCTCCTGGGGTCTGAAGCCCTAATTATGAGACAAAAGTGTTCATCTCTGTGGAAAACTTAACCAAGTTTTTGTCAGATGGCAATGCCAATTTCTCTTATAATTAGTTTTATTTTGAGATAGATGACATATATAAATACAGAACGCCTAGAAAAAGGCAAAGCAGAATTTCCAAGAAGGGAAAAATGTTGAAACAGTTTGAAGTGTCAAGAATTAAGATGTCAATTAAATCATTTAATTCAAGCATCTTCTTAGATTTTATTACCTGCCTTATAATTTCAGTAATATTGGAAATTGACTCAATTTGGCATATAAGAAAATAATGAATTGGTTAATTAATCAATTTCTTTAAAAAAATCCAGCTAAGATTGGCCACAAGTAACATTGGGACATATTAACAGAATGGAATTACTTGACTTTCATTTACTGGTGTGAACAGACTTGGACCTATTTGTATTAGCTTTTACAGGATGTCTTAAGAAATAATAGAAGGTCTTAAATTTTTAAAAAAGATTTAAATAAAAAATACTGTGAAAATTTTTAATAGTATTTTAAAGATTCTTTTGAAAAACATGTTTGAATTCTGTTTTCAGAAGATATCCATCACATATAAGTCTAAATCATGGTGATAGATGAAAAATACTTTTTTTGGCTATATGGTGTATGATAAAAATTAAAATTTTAAGTTTGGTACCAAATAAAGCCTGGATATAGTATAATTTTGTTTAGGTACACGGTATATGCTATTACATTTCCATAGAAAGTAATTTTTCAATGTTCTTATTTATACTCAGGATTTTACCTAATATTATTGAAGTATATAAATATGAAAGCAATTTCACAATTTTTTGTAGTCTTTGTTAGTGGTTTTATTTTGCTTAATATATAGAACTAAAAAAGCCTTACCAAACAAATAGTTTTAAGTGGTGCAAGACAGTAAATAGCAAGGAATGCATAGCATATGGTTATGCTGAATAGTAACCCTTAGTGTTGATGTTAGTTGACAGAACAGGATGAGTGTTCCTCAAGAATAATCATATTGTGTGGATTAGTCACACTAAATTTCTTAAATGAATGTTTATCAATATATACCAGATTTAAGGATTTCAGAGTATTAAGTAAGAGCAGGAAATCATCAACAACCTACAAGTATTCCTGAAAAAAAAGGATTTCAATTTTGAAGAAAAAGGCAACATGGCAGTACAATTCTCAATCTCAGGACTGCCTACACATGCTAATTTAAGCTTTTTTCCCTATGGACACTTGATGAATTTCAGTATGTTTTCAATTTTCTATCTTCCCGTGTTTCCAAAGAATGAAAGTTTTATTATGGGAACCAAAAATTTTATAGTGTGTGGTTTGAAATACAGTTAAAAGAACAAAACTAAATATAACAACATTAGATAATTTTAAAATTATTAGATCTTGGAAGATGTAATAATGGCCAAAATATCAAAATTTTCTTCTCAGTCTCATAATTTGATAACTCGTAAGAGTTAAAAATCAGCATCAAATGGTAGAAAAACCAGACGAAAGCTCCTCTACAACTTGAGAAACAAGAACGTTTCTTTATGCAGGAGGAATGATTGAATTCTTAATGTGGGCCACACAACTTCTTGATCTGGCTGTGGTTCAGTGCTTAGTCTCATCTCATACCCTCTCTTTCTTGCTCTCTATCCTCCTTACACTCACACATTCTACCTGAGCATGTGTTCACAGGCTGCTTCCTCTATTGAACCCTGTACTCTAATCCCTATTCCGCTATTTTACATCTCTTTATCCTTTAGATCATAGATGAAATGATGGTTCTTCAAATAATATCCTCCTGAAAATGTTTTCTCTAAATCCTGAACTCCTTTAAAAGTTTACAATTATATGTTCTATGCAATGATCTAATTAATGTTTGTGTCCTCTTTAGACTAGGCTATCTGAGATCAGGAATGATGAATACTTTGCTCAGTACTGTGAGGGAAATCAGTCAGAATTCTTTTGTTTCAAACAATAGTGCCTACTATGTGTTTCCTCAGTCAATCTGAAATCATGTGGTAGTCCTATAATGAATGCAAACTGCTGGGGCAATCATAAGAAATACAGTGGAAATAAAAATGTAACAGCCTGACAAAAATGTTTGGAATCCTGCACATGATTGGTAGGAAAACAATGAATGAATTCAGTGAGATATAATGGTTAAAATGACATGGTGATGTGAAATAGAGTATGTCAATTCATTGATCTACTGAATTATTTAATTATTTAAATAACTCTCTGGTTTTGTGACCCTAGGTAACTTACTTAGTCTCTTTCTACAACATAGTTTTTGACATTATTGAACAGAGTAAATATTTCCATATTGAATAGTTTCCACTTAATATGTTATGGTTACTTTTCAGAGGAAACTTAGAAATTTAGTACATCTATCTTGGATTATAAAATATTGTTGAGACATCAGTAGTGGTATTTTGAAGACCTTCTAAAATCCATAGGACTACTGTTTTGAAAACTGACTATTAAAAATGCATTTTTAGCTTAATAATTTTTTGTTAATGTTTTCTAATGTGGTTGAAGAATAATTATTTTCACATAAAAATTGAATTTGGCTTTATAAATCATATTTTAAATGTGTTTGACAATCTGTTCAGAAATTATTTGCATTATAGCTTTCAAATTTATTTATAGAACCTAAATAATGCACTGTTTTTCTCTATCAACAATTTTTAATTGTTCCCTAATTATTTTGCTATCTATTCAATAAATGTGTTTTCAAGCCCAGATGCTCTGAAAGGTCACCTTCCCTTTACTTAGTATTTAACATCTGTTTGGAAAACCTGTCTTTTCACATTCCACCATCCTTGCTAATTCCCTGCCTCCTCCCTTTCTCTCCCACCTCTCTTCCCTATCTATAATTCATCTATTCTGAAAGAACATATATGAAGACATGAACTGGGTGTCAATCTACTTTATATACAAACAGAGATATGAAAAATTGTGCTCTATATGTGTAATAAGAATTGTAATGCAAGAAAAACAAAGTACATGTTTAAAGACATGAATTGACACGAACAAACTTAATATACAAAGATATGAAAAATTGTGCTCTATATGTGTAATAAGAATTGTAATGCATTCCACTGTCATGTATTTAAAAAAATGAAATTAATTAAATAAAAAAGAAAACCTGTCTTTTTACCATGAATGTATACAGAGAAGAGCTAACATTATGTTGGAATGAAGAAATGGACAGAACTTGGACACTGCTATGTCACTTCATCCTTTCATTTAAACTTGATTCCCCAAATTTAGATATACTTACTACCAAAAACAAACATAGGGGGCTTTTCCATCTTAAATATTACATACTTCAACAGTATTTTACAAAATATGGTTAAATATTTCTATAGTAAATTTCAGACACATTTTCTTATGAAACCTAATTATAAAATTTTTTTAGTTGTAGATGAATACAATATCTTTATTTATTTATTTTTATGTAGTGCTCAGGATTGAACCCAGTGCCTTACATATGCGAGGCAGGCTCTGTACCACTGAGCTATTTACTGTTTTTACTGGCACAAACAATTCTACTACAATTTTTATATTTGATATATACAGTTTGCCCAGATATTGTCAAAATTTATAAATAAATTAACTTTTCTCAGGAAAAATAACACACTTTTTATCACATGCTACTAAATTATAACTACTACTTCATAATGTCATTTCACCAACTTGGGAGGAACCAATTTCTTTCAGAAGGAAAAGTTTACTATAGTTTTTAACAATGAATACAAATCTAATATGATATATGAGTTATACACTGTAACTTTCTATATGTCCTTGCTTTTGAGATCCTACCAGTTAGATCCCAGTGATACCACTAACAAGGAGCAGCATTCTTTTCAGCTACAAATAAAATGCTCTAAATTCCTTGTAATTAGTATATTTTAAAATATGGAAAAATTTCAATGATTCTGATATGGAACCTTATGGGTGGTGTATGTCTCCCACTCTGGTTCTTGTAATCACTTTGTCTTTCGAAATATTATAAGCTCTACTGTGGAAGTATACAGAGGGAACTGTGAGGTTTAGCGGTCTGAGTAATTATCTTTTTATTCAACCACATCTGCATTTGCCTGGGAAGCTATAAATAGATTACATTCACCTAAATTATATAAATTGTTGATAAGTTGTAAGAGAATAAAAAGTGCTTAAGAATGCAATATTATAAGAAGTAGTATTAAAAACATAAAATAAAGGCTTCTAAGGGTTTTGTTTGTTTGTTTTTAAGAGCAAAGGGTATGTTTTTATTTTATAAAAGTTTCTTCTTTTTTCTGGTAAAATGAATTGGGAGAGAAGAGCTAGTACAATTTAAGAGTCATAAAAATTTCAGTCTGCTATATTTAAAATGTGATTTAAAATCCGAGATATATTATATAAAATAAGAAAAATATATGTAATTTTTTTTTTTTACACTTGGGCAAAGGAAGAGGAATTATGAAGCAGGATATCACCATTCGATATCTAATTGATACAGGTTAAACTAAATTTTTTTTAATCTTCAAAATTCTCTCTGGTATCTAGTAATGTTTCTTATTTTTAATTAGTGGTAGTCTTGCCAACAGGTCGTACAATAATATATTTATCAAGCAATTCAAAAAAGCTTATATAGTTTATCTCAACTTTTAAAATAGTGAAAGCACACAAAATAAACACTGAGATGATCATTTGAAAGTGGAAAAGAGAAGAAACATAATTTAATCATTAGATTGTTTGTGGAAACAAACACATTGCCTTTATCAAAAAGCTAAAAATATTTTGTCATGATTCAGAGTTAAATTGCTTTCATTCTTCTATCATGCATGTAATATACTTTTAAAATGTCAGTAGCCTTAAAATTTTACCTTTAATTCACACATACAGTGAAAAGTCCTAAGATGTAGTATCCAACATGAAACGAACGTATTTCTTTCTTAACACACACCCTGAAATTTTTACCAGAGGAAGAAAAATAGATCAAAAGCTGCATGACGACACAGTCCTGTGTCTGTTTTCCACTCCCCTGAATCCTCCGCATTTCATTATTCTGGCACATAACCAATATTCATGACTTACCATTTGCCTAATAAAGGGCAGAATTTTCTGAATATTTCAAACTGCTGGTAATTTTATTCTTTTCCATAATAACATATAGGAATAGTTTGGCTATTCTAATGTTTGTAACTTGGAAATAGATTATACTCTGCCTGAAACTCAATGAACTCTCTCAAGGGGTTAAGAGCTGAGGTTTTAAATTTAGATGATAACCACAAACCAGCAAGAGTTCAATGTACACTGAGCTTTTGCATGCATATTTTCTACACATAAATAAGCTATACATAATAGACCCAGTTTATTTTCAGGTGACATATTTTAAGTACAAGTAGATCAGGCCAATTGTGGACAGAATAAACTCAAGGAAAAATAGACAAAATAATCTTACTGTTACATATAAAACATTTATTTTATTCTAAAAAACTTAAACTTTCTCCTATCAGTTTGCCACTTTCCCAAGACATGCAATGAAACTTAGCCTTACATTTTTACTGTCAATAACAGAATTGTGAAGCATTTGATCTCAGATGAAATTGGATTTTTTGTGTGTGTATGTTTTTTTGTTGTTGTTTTTGGTGTGCCTGGGTCTAGTTGATACTAGGCAAGTATACTACCATTGGCCACATCCTCAGCCCCTACTTTTGCTCTCAGAATACTTGTGAAAACACTTGAGCGCCTCAAGAGTTTTGTGTCTACATTTTGTTTCTGTGAATTATTTCTGCATATTCAAAATTAAAACTAAAAATATTCATCAATTCATTCAACAACATGAAACATGCATCATGTGATAACACTAATACCATTCCTTATGAAATATCATATATTTTACAAGCAAAAAATCTTATTATTGCATTGTTTTATTCTTTTGCATGACTAGCATGATTAAAAACATTTAGATTTTCATTAGCGTCTGCATTCAATCAGCTGTGGCATGTTATTTTACTGAAGGATATGAAGAAAATCTAGCTGCACAGAGGTACGGAGTTGAAGAAGGGAAGACCTTGTAGAACAAACAAAGGGCGTCATAAGCCTCACGGATCCTCATTCCACACTTTAAAAATCATTAGACTATAATAATATCATCTGCCATGGTTATTATGTCTTAATGATAATCTAGACAAAAATAAATTCTGATAGCAAACATGTATACATATATATAAATATATATATATAGCCAAACACACACACACACACACACACACACACACACACATCTCCAAATTATCTGCACATTCACTTTGGATTCAACTGATAATGTTATTATAAATACTTGTTGTTTTGTTGTAACAAAATGTTTATTATTCTAACTTTTCTACTCATTACAAGTAAATTAGAATGCAGATTGATGGAAGGCAGACTAAAGATTGAAACACAGTAAAATTAAAATATATAATGCTAAAATTTAATAGAAATAAACAGATGATTAGGAAAATGACATCTTACTTGAAAAAAATACCAAGCATAACCAAGTGGCTAATTTGAATACATGTATGGGTCTCCTTTAAGCAGTAAATTAGATTGAAACACTTCACTAAACACAAGATGGAGTCTAATATTTTTAGTATCCTACATGACATTTCTAATTAATCTGTAAAAACCACAAGAAAAATTTTTCTTATATTTATGGCATGTCTGCTTTAAATATTAATAGGAATTAACCAAATGCCAAAGAAAATGTACTGATTCAGATATTCTATAATTTCTAAAATCATAATTTTTGTTCTTAAAAATAAGTAAATTCAGAAATAAAAATGTTTTTTAGATTATATAATAGATTTTTAAAAATCTCATCTCACCATTTGGCAAAGAATAAAATGACTTACTTTTCTTTCTCTTGAAGTTGAAGCTCCTGAGGAGTCATTTTAGGTTCAGTCCCAAGATTTTTTTGCATTAGCTGCCTCCTCTTTCTACTTGGTGCAATATCAGTGACATCAGGACTTGAAATAATGGAGTCATCTTTACTTAAAGTGGCTAAAATAAAATAAAAAATGTAACCCAACTAAATTATGCATATAATATAAGTAAAATATCAACTTGCTGCTTTAGCATTGAAATAAGGTGGAACAATTAAAATACAGAAAAACTATTTTCTCGAAACTATTCTCCTACACCTTCATGCAGATTTGTTGAAGTGAGCCAGTTAAAATGGTTTGTAATACTTTTTACCAACATAAAATATTAGATATACTGTACAGTTGGATTAATTTGATCAGAATAGTTTTGCCCATCATAGGAAGAAATTTCCCAAACACATTATTAGCACAGTTTACTACGTTGGTGTTGGAACTGGTTGGAGGTACTGTAGTCAACTGTAAAAGGTAGTTTGGGTGAAGGGCAAAAAACCCAAACTGTTATAGGGATTATTTGAATCAATTTGACATTAAACAGTAATTATTAGCAAGTACAGGAACTTCTCTTTGTAACTCAGAGATAATTTCATAGTCTTTTAAGCCAAATGTGGAAATAAGAACAAGAAAGCTGTAAAAAGTATTAAAAGATATCTCTAATATGGCTAAGTCATTAAATTACTCCTCAGAGTATTTGGTGCATGTGAAACAGAAGCAAGAATAGAAACATGTTTGATTTATGTTCCCTTATTCTCTATTAACAATAAGAGGAGTTCAGAATTTTCATTCATCCATGCAATACACAGTATATTCTGCTAGGATACATGCTTCTATAAATTTGAAGAGGTGCTTTGCTCTTCGTAAACACAGCAATGATGTCAATATAATCTGAACTTTAGGATATTCTGTCGGTTCATACAATATTTTTTTAGCATAGTAATATTTAAAAGTGATTAGGGACAAGCTTTCCTTCTAAATAAGGAGAGAGTGTCTTAACCATGTAAAAATGCTTAAATGGGAGGAGATAGAAAGATAAAAATTCTGTATAAGTCAATTCCTTTAGCACAAATAAAGGCTGGTTTAATAAACTAAATGAGACAAGAACTTCACACTTTTTAAAAGTATACTTCTTTGCTAAGTGGTGATCAGAGCTGAAATAGTTATGAAAACATTTCTCCCTATATCTTGGATATTTAATTTTGATGGAATTATTAGGATCAAATGCATGCAATAACTCACATCTTCTCCCTTTGAGAGGAAGAGTGATGCAAAGGGTCTGCTGACTATGATTCTGAATGTAATTTTTGTTGGAGATTTATTGGAGTTAGGATTTTTATTAGACTTTTAATGGGAGGTCTAACAATAATGACAAAACTGCCTAATTTGGGGGCTTTGGGCTCAAACTTTAATATTTCTCCCATAAACTCCATTACTTTTTTTGTAGTTGTAGATGGACAGTGTGCCTATATTTTATTTATTTTTGTGTAGTGCTAAGGATCAACCCAGTGCTTCATAAGTGCTAGGCAAATGCTCTGCCACTGAGCAAAAGCTTCAGCCCTAACTTCCTTATTTTTAGTGTGCAATTTTACAGAAAAAGTGGTTTTCAGGTATATGTGTGTGTGTGTGTGTGTGTGTGTGTATTGTGTGTGTGTGTTTGTGTATATATATATATATATATATATATACATATATATATATATATATTTATATTTATATTATTCTAACAGAAAAGCCTGCATGTTGCCTTCTCACTCTATGGAATTCACACTTGATCTCTCTGAAATTGCTTACACATTGTTGCTCAATCTCTTGAAATTCTTCCCTTGATTCCATTTTTTTTCTCTTAATAATAACTATTATTTTTGAGAAATTATATGCTGGATATTTTTCTATGGGTTTTGCACGTGTTATTTTATTAATCCTTAAATGACCTTTTGAAGCATTTACTATTACAGTCTTTATTTTACTTATGGGAAATCTGGGCTTCAAAGAGGTTAAGTGACTTGTCCAAATAACACAGCCTTTGTTCTTAACATAAATTTAACAATTAAAAAATTATTTTTAATCATGGGTAAAATATTATTTGATAAAATATTAACTGAATATCCATCAAAGTATATTTTACTTTCCAAGGCTATTTTAAGTTTTTAGGACAAATGACTTCCTCTAGATACATTAATTTGTTAACTTGTAAAAATTGTACTGAGAGTAGAAAAGGTAAATTTAAAAAAAGGAGTTTGGATTTTGGTTTTTTGTTTTGTTTGACACATTCAAGCTGAATGATTTCCTAAATTTTATTAAGCTGAGAGATGAGTAATTATAATACAACTATATAGTCCATGAGGAAAAAGAAAACTACCAAAAGTGTTGAAGGTAGAAGATATTGCAATCGTACATAGGCTTGTAAAATGGAGAGATTACAGCTGATGTCATTCCTCAATCTAGGAAGACAGAATATTGTTTTAATTACAATTTAAAGTAAACCTTTTTAAAAAATAGTCACCAAAAAATTTTTGTCATTCATTTCAAAACTCCAAATGAAGCCTTACAAATTGGCAACCAAAATGGATATTTTATGTGTGAAATGGCCACACCATTTGTTATAATGTCTGCAATTTACTTTAAAATACAATGTGACTCATGTGCATTAGTTAGGGTGAGCTATAACCCAGTTGTTTCTAGCTGTAATCAGGAAGGCACAGACCATAAATTTGACAGAACAAAAAATTCGTATTCCTGAGAGTATTATCATAGGTATTTTGCTATTCACATTTCAATCAACAACTGATGATTTACTGCTTGTTCTAATGAATGAAAAAAATATGTGTACCTACTAAAATCAAGGCATATAAATTATATTAATAAATGTTACATATAGCCATTCATGAGCAAAATTAGAGATACTCATGATGCACAGATTGGCTAAAATACTTTAGAGATACTCTCTACCATTTTATGAATCAGGACTAGAAATCCCATGAGGCCTATTTATTTTTAGAGATGATTTCTTATGCTACATTTTGAAGTGACTCTGTGTTTGTCCGCAAACTCTGGGACAAGGCAACTGCATTATCAGAATAAGGACTGTCATTCCTATTACAGGAAATGTTATACGTGCCAAAAGGGAAACCTCTTACAAGAGGTGGTGACTAGGAAACTTTAAAGGACACCAAGCTTGGAATTTATTCAAGCTTTTGAGGCAGAAATTATTTTGTGCTTATTTACTAGTAAATATTTTTACTAACTACTTACTATTTTTACTCACTAGTTAATGGTTTTATGTGTGACAAAATTTAATCTGAAAATATATTACTATAATTATTATTAGTAGTATTACCTTGTAGCCAAATTATAAAGTATCTAATATTCTCACACTTTAAACTTCTTGGTGACTATCATTATTTAACACAAAGAAGCTGAACTTGTGTATGACCAAATATTTCTGGCCAGTTCACCCAAACATTATGATTCATTTCTCTTGACAATTACAGTGGCGCCTTTCTATAAAATTGGCAGGAGGAGAAAAGGCAGCTGTATAAGCTTACTTACTATTTAAACAGAATATATCTTCTTTGGTTTGTGTTTGCACCATGGGAAACTGTGTTCCCTTCAGTTTTTCAGGCACATATAGTAGCCAACTGTATTGTAGTAAATTCTCCTACTTTAAATGTTCCCTTAAAATACCCATCTACCTTTAATGTCTGGCAAAATACTTTAGCCTATCCTCCCCTCTCTACCCAGCAATGCCAGAAACCAAGAAAAAGAGGCACTACTCCAATATCTGGAACCTAAATATTAAAAGATTCATTTAAAGAAAGCATTTCTCCAATTTCAAACCATCTTGCCTCTCTCCTCTAGCTATGATAATGTTCAGTCCTCTCATTCCCTTTGATCTTGACACTGGATACTACATTTCTATTCTGAACACTGGATCCCTTAAACTACAGCTGTGAGTCTCCAATCAAACCTGTGGTGAAACCACAGAAAGGACAGAATTATATTGATAAGAAGTTAAATACAGGGACCTTCCAAAATGTCTATACCATTCATTGGCCAACTTACAGTTGGCCCTCTGCTCACTTGGGTTCTGCATCCATAGATTCAACCAATCACATAGAGATATTTATGGGGGTCCTGAGACCAGTACCACTAGATACAGAGGCATGACTGTTTTTTTTTTTAACTTTAACAATTCAAGTTTTCATTTTTAAGTCATAATATCACATTTTAAATAAAAAGCATCAATTCATATTGTTTATTATTTATACATACTTGTTTTAGAAATAAGGAATAATTTGAATAGAATTGTAATGTTTAAGAACAATAAGGAAAAGTATGGCCAGGATACAGTGGTGTTTAGGAGAGAAAGATGTAGGAAATGAGATGATATATAGGTAAAAACATTAGGGAAGACGTGGCGAGAAAAGTAGACAGAGATATTAAATAAATTTGTAAACTTTTAAATTCAGGCAGAAGAATCTGAATTTGGGATTGACCAGGGAGGTGTTCTGCTATGATTCCACTACCAGAATTCTGAGTTTTCAATATTATCATTAGTTTCTTTGTCATAACAATGTGCCTTTCACCATTACCAGATTTTTTTTTAAGAAAACAAAAGAAAAAGAAAAACTATTGCTAATTAACCTACCCCAGCTAAAATGGTGATTGGCATAGCTATGGGATGAAGTTCAAGTTTTCATTAGGTTCACTGCATCTAAAAAATGGGGAATCTTTACACAAGCCCTGCTATTGTGGAAGGTGGCTCCACAAAAAGCCACACTTCTTCTCATCTGACAGAAGAACTGCAGGATGTTGGCAGCAACAGATCAGACATGAGAAGAGTGTTGGCTTCCCTGGGTATTCTGAATGTTGAAATAAAATGACACCCTTGGCTAATCTGCCAGGAATTTGGATAAATCCCATGAGTTAAACTACCTTGAGTTAAACTTCAGTCTGACCAATGATGAACTCTTAGATCTTCATATTTTTCAAAATTATTTTCCACCTTTATAATTTGTTTTATCAGGTTCCCATTCTATCACATTTATGGAATTTTTCTCTTCATGTTATGTGTATCTTGACACACAGAAAGAGTCTAAAGTACCCAAACAGAAATGGTCACCT